ACCCAGCCTAACTCAGCCAATTTGCTTGGTAAAAAATCGGAGCAGCAGCGGGGTACAGGTCCCAGCTACATGTGAAAAAGCATGGCGCGCTGTCCCTTCGAAATCAGACACGAAGCAAAGCAACGGCAAACCAAATGACAAGCCCAAACAAAAAAGAGTTGCCGTTTGCTTTTCGTATTTTTGCGCGTCGCGTTTTGTTTTTAGGACCTTTTTCGCAGTTCCCATCTACGCGCTGTTTTCTTACTTCGCGTCGCCTCTTTTTTTGGTTTTCCCGCGGCCTGCGCTCTTTTGATATTTGCCCCCTCCACACACACGCACCTGCTTGTGGACTTGCTTTCTCAGACTTTTTGCTTTTCTTTTTGCAATCATGATTGTCGCACGCATGGCTGCAATGGTTGCGTGGAATGCTTGCCACTTGCTTTCTGTCATCGCCCATGCAGTGTGCTGCACCAACAGCTTGCCCATGCCTGTGGCAACATGTTCGGTGTGCATTGAAATGTGTCATTGGAATCGCCGATGAATTGCCTTGCTGCGTCCCCTGTAAAGCAGGCATAGCATAGCTGCCGCTAAACACTCACAGTGTTTGAGTCGGCCTTGTGGTGGTGGTGGTGCTTGGAATCATGTTAGCCGTACAGTTGGTTGTTGTGGCTTTTGCTTTGGCTGCTGCTGAGAAGATGCAAGCGCCTTCCAGCTTCATGCTGGTAAGTGGTGTCTCTTCACCGCGAGAGATGTGTCTAGTCGGGATGGGCCCAGCGGGTGCTTTATTGGACGAGTGCACGGCTGCACTTGCAGAGCTGGACGGACGTGAGGTTTGGAGTCTCACAGGCAGTGGCTCCTTGACGAATTTAGCTGCGAAAAAGTGTTTGGCCGCGCAGCCTGATGCTGCTGCTGGGAGTGCTGTTGAGCTAGCGCCTTGCGATGAAGCAGGGAAGAGTTCAACCTGGGAGTTGCAGGCCAACGGACAAATAAAGCTTGGGGCCAGCAACATGTGCCTGAGCCAAGCAGGGCCTTCGCCTGGCCGTGCAGATCTTGCCTCTAGCTCCGCAGTTGTTGCTAGCTCCACATTGGACCCTGCGCACGGAGCTGCCCTTGTTGTTGATGGTCTCGCATCATCCTATTGGGTATCCAAGTTAGACGAAGCAGGCCCTGTGTCTTTGACGCTTGAATTTGACAAAGCGGCGCCTGTGCTCGAAGTAGAGCTTGATTTTGAATTTGCCCCTTCTTCTTTCGTGCTGCAAAGCTTGGGGGCAAGTGGTAAATGGATTGACGAGTTTGCAACTGACACCAACATCCTTCGAACCGCCAAGCTCCCACTGGCCGGTGGCCCGGCCTATGGCGTGAGGCTTGTGATGAACAAAGCGCATGCGACCCAAGCCGTGCTGGGAGGTCATTCCATCTTTGGGGTACGTTCCTTCAAGGTCCTTGCCCCACTGATGCGCCCGGTTGTGGAGCCTTGCGTGGTGGCGGCCAAGAGCAGTGATGCTCGAGACAAATATTTTGCCGTGGCCGTCGGCTCCTTTGATCCTTCGTCTGGTGCGGCGCTGCGGTCGGAGCTTCCTGCTTTGGACTCTGCCGGCGCAGCAGTTGCCGCCGCAGTGACGGAGCTTGCGGAAGCAGTCCCAGATGCGCGTGCATGCAAGAAAGGCGCTGCCTTCAAGTCAAAGGCAGGACGCCGCCAGACAGTATCATCCACTCGCAAGAGTCTTGGAGGAGCAGAAATTGGCGAGCAGGAAGCTTTGTTTGTCGAGGCCAAGAAAACCATCATCGCCGCTCGCAGCATTTTGCAATGAGCCAAATGCGCAGGGCTAACTATGTTTGATGTGGCCCTAGATTCGCCCCAAGTGGCAAGCTGCTTTGTGTATCGCTGCTCTGTTGCCAGGCTCGGCTTTTTCTCTTTCGTGGCAGAAGAAGTTTGTTGCTCAGTGTCAAGAAGTTGGGTCTCCTGCGCATCTTCAGGCATCAAATGCCGTCCTGGCTGACCTGAACTTAATTTTTTTCTTGTTCCTTCAAGTACTGAGGGTCCAGCAGAATACTTGGACCCAGGGACCTGTTCCAAAAGGGCTTGTAGCGAGTTTCTCTACGAGAAACTCTCCCTTATTTGCACACGCAACTTTTTATGAGCAAAAGATTTTTTAAATGTTTTTGTGAAACCTTGTTTTACAACAAACTCCTTTTGCTCATGCGCAGTCAATTTTTTGTCAAACAAATCTGGGAGAAGATGAATTTTATGTTTCGTCCGAACATATCCATCTCAAGGGTAGGGTGGGAGGGTTTTTCACCTCTTTTGACGGAAAATTTTTCGTCTTTCATAAGGGGTAGGTGCTGTGCTGGTAGTTCCATGGATGATTCTGGAGCATCTAACACTGAATATTTGAGTGGGAAGAGCTGTGTTGCACTGCCGCATTCAGATGAGTTTGTCAGCTTCATGGACGACCTGAACAAACAAACAGGTTTAGCGGAGGTACCAGGTGATTCTGGCTGTACAGACAAAGGTGTCGATCTTTTTGCTGGTATGGAACCTTTGCATGGTCATGATGCTCATTCTGTATGTAGTCCCACGACAGTTGCTTCAGAAGAATTGCATGGCTTGCACAGAAGTGAACATTTCAATGCTGTCATTCCTTCGAACAGTTCAGGTAGCCGTGAGGAACCAGTTGTCAACTTTGACAATGCTCTGGATGTTGCTTTCAATACAATTGTTCAGGAACAGCCGAAACAGATTTGGGAAACAGGTATTTGGAAATTCATTTTCGGAAACAATGACTCTGAACTGGATTTCGATGTTTGGGGCAGGCCACTCAAGCGGCCAACACCTGCTGTGTGGGGAGTCGAACAAAGTGCCCTCGACAAAGAACCCACTGGAGTTGCGAAACGCAGCCGTGTTCGGAGTTGCAATTTCATGGACGTTGTGTCATTCAAACCAGATGTCCCTTGGAGAGATCAGAGGGAAGCTGACCTACAGAGGAGCATTAAGCTTTGGATTGCGGTCACCAGCAAGTGGGATGATGGTTGCAATCTGGTTTGCAGGCTGGGTGAGATGCGCAACGAGGCTGAAGTGTTCGACATGTTTGCACATGTTTTCTCAGGGAGGGCTCCAGTGACAGTTCGGAAAAGAGGCATGGCAATTTTGAAGCTGTGCGATTACCTGGAAGAAAACAAGTTGGAAAGGTTCCCCATGAAGGAGCTCACATGCTACAGATTCATGTGTCTACAACAAGCTGAAGGCGCCCCTGCTAGCAGACTTCAGGGCACGATCCAGGCCTTGACATTTTGTCGACATGTGCTTGACGTCGTGGAGCTGCAGGAAGTGTTGGATAGCAAAAGATGCCAAGGGGTGTCGCGTGAAACATGTCCGAAGGAGCGCAAGCAGGCCAGTCCCTTGACCGTTGCAGAGCTTGTGAAACTGCACACAATAGTGGATGAAGCGAAAGATGTTTGGGATGCAGTTTTTGCTGGAGCAGCCCTGCTATGTTGCTATTGCCGAGGCAGGTGGGGGGACTTGATGAGGAGTGAGTCAGCCTTTTTGGATACAGACGAAAAAGGCGATCCAGCTTTTGTGGAGACTAGGACGGGCCGCCACAAGACCATGAGCTCACAGATGCACAGGCATCAATTCCTGCCTATGGTGGCACCTGTCAAAGGGGTGCATGGAGGTGAGTGGTCGACGCCTTGGATCAAGCACCGGCAAGAGCTGGGTCTGACGTTCCCTCCATGTGGCTTGATCATGCCAGCCCCTGACCGAGAAGGAGCAGCGACTCAAAGGCCCTTGGAGTCTGGTGAATGTGGGAAGTGGTTGAGACGTTTGCTGGGTGCAGAAGATGCCGTGGGAGCAAATGCAGAGCGGCGCATCAGCAGCCACAGCCTCAAGTGCACCATGCTTTCATTTGCAGCAAAACGTGGTCTTTCCATTCCAGACAGACTGATGTTGGGTTACCATAGTTCACAGATGCACATGGCCATGGTATACTCACGAGATGGTGCAGCTGCGAGTTTGCTGTTGTTAGAGAAGTTGATTGATGAAATTTCAAAAGGAATTTTCAGACCTGACAGCACCCGAAGCGGAAGACTTGTGGAGCCGATGACAGACGCGTCAGGCCCTCAAAATGCTGAAGTCAAGATTGAAACAGTGTTGTCATCAGAAGAAGAAGAGAGTGACAAAGCAGTGGAGTCCGAATCTTCTGACAGCACTAGTGAGTCAGATTCTTCTGAGAGCGTGGTGCCCAAGGACCATAGTTTCAATAGGGTATTTGCACCGCCTCGACCCCCTACAGGGTATGACAGGTGGCAGCACTCAAAACTCAAGACAGTGCACCTCACAGCACCTGGATATTGCAAGGTGTTCGTTTGCGGTAGACCTGTAGGAAGTTTTCACTGCAGGGTGGACGAGGACCCAAGGTTTGACTCACCGATTTGCTGGGCATGTTTCAACAAAGCTTCAGTCGAATGATGTCTCGTTTTCACAGTTTGCAAACATGTGTCCCTTTATTTTGCATGATGTTTTCACAGTTGATGTCGTGTTTGAACAAGGGCGAGGCACTCGGCAGATTGTGTAGGGTTCAGCAACTCAGCGATAACAGTCGGAGATGTCAGTCACAGCTTCAACATGTTGTCAATTTTCTTGCATTTATTTTGTCACAGTTGTCGACCGCTTGCCAATGTTTGCTGGTTGTTACCCACTCGAGCTGACGTCAGTGCAGTTGCTGATGCGGGGCGAGGTGGCCCAACGTTTGGTCCGGCTCCTATAGAGTATTTCATGTGCATGTTGGCAAGTCATCCATGTCCAAAATCAGTTTGTTTGAACTTGCAGTAAAATCTAACATTGCTGATGAACAGAAGGATGCTTGCCAGACAGCCTGGTCAAAATGCCACTTCACAAACGAAATGGGCAGCAAGCCGGGTAGGGATGTCTGGACCTCAACCAGCTTGAGTTGTCGTTGAAGCAGCACTTATTTCGTGGAACTTTCAACCAATGTTTCATTTTCAGCATGCAAGAGATCTCAGTTTTCTTTCCAACATTTTTCATGTGGAAGCGTTTCATACAGACGAGAGTCTTGACATTCGTTTCAACCTGACTTTTGATTGGCGATCCGTGGTCGAGACCCCAAGCAGATGTCAGCAAGTGCAGTGATCTTCACATTCAATGTTTGTCTCTGTTCATAAGCTTTGATTTCACTGTGAATGAGTCGACACTGTGATGAGCAAACAAAAGAGGGGGCATGACATTCACGGTTGCAGTCAGCGCTGTATGAACCACCATACATGCTTGGAGCTCAGACACTGCTGGAGACCTAAAAAACCTGCGACATCGCGGTAGGGGGACAACAGTGATCGGCATGAAGCATTTGACAGTTCATTTCATTATTTCTTGCATCTTGTGATGTCTGAGTGCTTGTCAGTGATGCCAACATGTCCTTTGAATTGTGGGATTGGCGTCCACGCATCAGACCAGAGCAGTGGAGAGGCTCATAGCTGGACAATGTCAGCGCTTGAGCTGAACACTCATGAACACATGTCAGGCTTTTTGTTTTGAAGGCGAGTGGAAGGAGATGCACTGTCAACATCACTTCACAGCCAAACAGCCGAGACATGGCAAAACTTTCAGGCAACGTTAGATGTGATATCAGTAATGAAACTAGCTGAATCAGCGTTGCAAGCTGTTGGGACCAGTCCAAAACTGTTTCATTCGTTTGATCGAACAAAACTTCTTTTTGTAGCTTTTAAACCTCGACCGTGTGAACCATGGCTTTGGTGGAAAGCAATGCTGCCTTTTTACAGCGGTGCAATGAGATTGATGCTACTGGAAATTTTAGCAATGCTTTGGCTGCTCAGAACATTGGAACGTTCAGTGCAATGGCGTTCTCACTTGGGACGCCACAGACGCCACCAAACGATCAGCAGTTTGACAATCTTGCCAATGCAGTATTTGGCGCTGGATTCACACTGGGACAATCATCAATGCTACGAAGATTACACTTCGAGGCGACGACGCTGATGATTGCGTCGGTCAAGCAGCGAGTCGATGGTGAAGCCGCTGAGAAGGCAGATAGCGTTAAGAAGATTCCCATAGCTGAAAAGAGGTACAGACTTGAGCAGCAGGAGCAGCGCTTGGCTGGCATTAACATCAGTGGGGAGCTGGAACCGAGTCATCAACTTGTTGACTTGGCGAACAACATTTTGGAGACAGGTTCTTTGGTGTGGATTGCACCGAGCAGGTGCACTAAGAGGTCAGACGAAGTGCAGCTGGCGATCAAAGAAAGGCCCTCGGCAGTACAAGTCGAGAACCACCAATTGAAGGTGACACAGACTTTGGACGAGTTCAAGGCCGACCACGGGAGCGAGATCAAGCTGCAGTGGTGTTGGCAGCGCAGGGGCCTAGCAATGGATCAATGCAGGCTACTTTCTTGGCACATCCATGATGCCTGGGTACACCAGCTCTTCAGGACAATGAGCCAGCAGCCACCGCCTGGTTTTCAGCAAGTGAAGGTCGACCAGCTCATTCGAGCGGACAGGGAGCTGTGGACATTGTTGGCACAGGATGTCAAGGGCAGTCTCAAGCCCGACGCTGCTGGAGCGATACCGCTGGATGCGGCCTTTCCCAGGTTGTGCCAAGATCCACGCATCACAATGTTTCTCTTGCCGTCATTGGCGACATCGAAAGCAGTGGACAAGGAGCCCCCAAAGAAGCCATCAACTGCAGGGCCATCACAAGCAGCGGCAAAGAGCACAGGCGGCAACAAACGCCGTAAAACCAGAGCTGAAAAGGGGTGCCCCGAGGAGTTGAGAAAGTTTCAGCTACGTTGTGAACATGGTCCTGTGTGCTGGGCTTACAATTTGAAGTCGGGTTGCAAAAATGCTACAACGGGCAAGCCATCCAGGTGTGCAAAAGGTTTCCACGTTTGTGCAAACTGCCACAAGCCTGGACACTCGGTGACGGTGTGTCGTGGACTCACCAAGACAGATGGGGCTTGACAAACCAGCCCCACTGGCAGCAATTTGAGGCCAGGTGGGAAGAAGCGCACAGTTTCACAAGAGCCACAGTCGAATACCGACAAGGCAGCTCCAAAGAAAGGCGGAAGGAAAAACATGAATGTTCAACACATCCATCAACCTCCTCCTGAAGTTTCACATGATCCAACAATTATCAACCTTAAGGGTGAGCAGTTGGATGAATTTGACAGTGCGCAGCGTGCAAAGTTCAGCGGCAAACTGCTGAGCGACATGATTTTTGTGGAAGTTTGTGCAGGGAGTGCAAGGTTGACAAGAACGGCAAGGGATTTTGGTTTCAACGGCATTGCAATTGACCACACAACGCAAAGGTCTTGTGGGGTCGACATTTGCTTATTTGAGCTTGAGGACCCGCTCCAAGTAGAAGAGTTGTGCAATTTCCTGAAGTCCGAATCGGACAACATAGCTGCAGTTTGGATAGCGCCATCATGTGGAACAGCAAGTAAAGCAAGAGAGAGAAAGCTCCCGCAGCTCGCCAAGCTGGGCATCGAAGTTCCAATTCCCTTGCGCTCCCACGAGCAACCTGACCAAATCGATGGGCTGGCAGACACAAACAAGTTGAAGGTGGAGAAAGCAAATTTGCTCTACGACGCCGTGGAGAAAATCGCACAAACAGCGTGTCAAGCGCACATTTTTGTCGGCATTGAGAACCCAGGTAACAGTCATTACTGGGGCACAACACCTATGAAGAATCTTGTCGACCGTTTTGGTGACAAATTTGTTACATTTCACAACTGCTGTCACGGTGGCTCACGTGACAAACTTACATCAGTGTGGGTCAACCGCGACTGGATTGACAGCCTGGAAGCCCGATGTGACAAATCACACAACCACAAGTCTTGGAAGGTCACCATCAATCGACGCGAAGTTCATTTTCCAACTTCTGAAGAGGCGGCTTACCCGCCAGTGTTGTGCCAGCGGATTGTGGAATGTGTCAAGCAAAAGGCGGTTTCATTTGGGGCTCTGTTTTCCAATACTCTTGAAGAGCAGCTACAACAACCAGATGGAGATGCGGCAGGCAGAATCGCACTTGGCGCACTACTCAGAGGTGCAAAAGTGAAACCGCTAGTGGCAGAATTTGGCAGCTACATTTCCACCGTAGCACCGGCACAACACACAGGGGCAGTCGAGGCTCTTTTACCTTCACTGCCTAAAGGTGCTCGAATCACCTCACGACAGTTGTGGAAAAGGGGTGAGTTACGGGTCGCGAGAGAGGAAAGCCAATTTCTTGCAGGCGCTTTTGAGATGGCCCCAGAAGAAATGGTTGAAGTTTGTTGGATTGGCATTCCAAGTGAGCCAAAAGATTTTGTTGTGCGAGCTATTGCTGCTGGACATCCTCGCAGTTTGGACGTGCATGTGGATGAGACCATGCAAAAGGTGGTTGAACTCAATTTGTTGGAGCCTCCATTTGTGCTTGCCAAAAAACGTGTTGAATATTTGAAGAAATGGACGGCCAGGGCGAAAGAGACGTCAGCCCAGGAGGAGGAGCTGAGGAAAACCATGCCTGACCATGTGCGACAGGTGCTTGGGCCGAAGAGGCTCGTCTTGTTTGCAGAGATGCTCAAAGAGCTCAACTACCCTGACGAAAAACTGGTTGAAGACATTGCTGCAGGTTTTCGCTTGAGTGGATACATGACCAGGTCCAACGTTTTCAGAGCCAAGTCCAAACGACCCACCATGACAGTGGAAACTTTACGAAAGCTGGGTAGAACTTTCAATGCAAACAGCATTGAATCATTTAGCAGACGGCAGGAACAAGAGCTTGAAGAGGCAACTTGGAAAGAGACTGAAGCGGAGCTCACGAAGGGCTGGATTTTTCTTGACAAAGAAGGGTCTACAGAAGGCAAGTATTTGGGGCGCCGCTTCGGCATCAAGCAAGGGGCCAAGGTAAGAGTCATTGACGATTGCACTTGCTGCGGGCTCAACCTGACGGTGGGACTGCATGAAAAGTTCCGTTTGCACTCGGTCGATTTTTTGGCCGCAATGCTGGGATTTGCTTTGAGATCCTGCCCTGCTGACAGCAGGCCCAATCTCAAAGGCCGGACGTATGACTTGCGTTCGGCATACAAGCAGTTTGCTGTGCATCCAGTGGACCGTGCTTCCTTGCGCATGGGCGTCAACATTCCGGGGTCCACTGATTATGCTATGATTGGATTCAACTCGCTCCCTTTTGGAGCTGTGGGGCCTGTGGCCGGTTTCCTCAGAATCAGCCAGGCCATTTGGTACCTTGGATATGTAGGGCTTGGCTTGATGTGGAGCGCTTTTTATGATGACTACACACTGCTGTCCCGGACGGAACTTGAAAGCAACAGCAGTTGGGCATGTGAAACGTTGCTGAAGTTGCTCGGCATGGAGTATGCCACCGAAGGCCACAAATGCCTGCCCTTCTCCGACAAGTTCAGGACGCTGGGATTGGAAATCGACTCTTCGGGGTTTGCTGGTGGTCGCGTTTTGGTGGGCCACAGAAAACAGACGTGAAGAACTTCATGGTCAACTCGATGCCTTCTTGCGTGACAACGCCATGAGTGCCAAAGATGCAGAGAGGTTGAGAGGGCGTATGATATTTTTTGAAGGATACACCTTTGGGAGAGTTGCCAATGCAGCAGTCAAGGCATTGGGACGTTTGTGCACGGGTCCGCGTGCTGCCAGGACGCTTGACACCTCCAGCAGGAGCGCATTGCAGTTCTTAAAACAGCGTGTGCTTGATGGGCCTCCTCTTACAATTGAGAGGGCACTCCATTCCACCTGGTTTATCTTCACAGACGGAGCTTGTGATCAGGTAGCCAAGACTGGCTCCATTGGTGGGGTACTCTACAGCCCGTCTGGAGAATGCTTGCGTTTCTTTGGAGAGAGCGTGCCGGCCAAACTCCTGGATGACCTCTTTTCCAGGTCCAAGAATCCTATCCACGAGTTGGAGGTCCTCCCGATTTTGGTGGCGGCATCACTGTGGGGCGATCTTTTTCCACACTCTCAAGTCGTATACTTCATCGACAATGAGTCGTCGCGGATGGCTTGCATAAGAGGCACTGGAGAGACCCTGAGAGCTTCAGAAGTCATCCAAGCCTTTGTCAATTTGGAATCCAAACTGCAGCACAAAGTATGGTTCGGGAGAGTACCTAGCCACAGCAACCCGGCTGACTCGCCCAGCAGGCTGCACTTCGAAGAAGTCGTGGCATTAGGTGCAGTCAGAACCAGCGTTGACTGGGAGACGACATGGAAGCACCTTAGTTTGTGAAATGGGGCGGAGCTCGGAAGGTGCTGACTTACTCCCCTGTGTTAAAAAGGAATCGTTGCTGCATCCGGATTTCATTTTTATTTTGACATGTCACATTGCGTTGCACGTTTTGTTTTGGCGAAACGATTTCGGTATACGCACCTGGTTTTGGTTAAGGAAAATTGCTGCGCTTTTTGTGGAGTGTAGAATAAGTAGCGAGTTTCTCTACGAGAAACTCTCCCTTATTTGCACACGCAACTTTTTATGAGCAAAAGATTTTTTAAATGTTTTTGTGCGAAACCTTGTTTTACAACAAACTCCTTTTGCTCATGCGCAGTCATTTTTTTGTCAAACAAATCTGGGAGAAGATGAATTTTATGTTTCGTCCGAACATATCCATCTCAAGGGTAGGGTGGGAGGGTTTTTCACCTCTTTTGACGGAAAATTTTTCGTCTTTCCCTCCCTATGATTCGCTGCCGCGAATTTTTCCCACCCACGAAAACATTTCCTTCTCCAATTCTTTTCCTACATGGTCTTTAAAAGAGGCCACACCCTTCGGCCCTGGAGCTCGGAAGGTGCTGACTTACTCCCCTGTGTTAAAAAGGAATCGTTGCTGCATCCGGATTTCATTTTTATTTTGACATGTCACATTGCGTTGCACGTTTTGTTTTGGCGAAACGATTTCGGTATACGCACCTGGTTTTGGTTAAGGAAAATTGCTGCGCTTTTTGTGGAGTGTAGAATAAAGAATGGGAATGGTGAGCATGTCATTGTCGAATTGTAGATAATTTCGCCTTAGCATTTCAGATCTTCAACATGACCTATACAAGTATCCATGGCAGACATTGTGTTTTTATGTTTTTTAAAAGACAGGTGCAAGGCTGTAAAGGATGTTAAAGTAGGATGCCTTCAAGATCAGACGTGCCCCCTTGACACAGCATCTTCGAAGCTTCAAGGACAAACATTTCTTTGGCAAGCGGCGATGGCAATCGAAATAGAACCTCGAGAGTTAAATGTGGAAGGGTTGTAATGTCATATCATTGCAATCTATACAAAGCTATTGAAAATTATATAGTGTCTTGCTTGTTTGGTTGTGATTTCATTCTTTCCCATTAAAGCCGTGCGTCACAGTTGCGCAATGATATGGCTGGACCCAGGTTCCATTTCAGAGGACATTTTTGTAACAAACGGAAGCATTTTGTTGGGAATTTTGCCTAGTGAACCATGCCATTTTTGGAAAAGGCGTGTTTTTTGTTGGGCGAATCATTTTGTAAGAGCCAACATTCTTTACAAAATGACGTCGGGGCCAGTCATTTGATAATGCTATTTTGGGTTCATTTCTGGCAGTGCAAAGGAGGGTATTGAAATCTTGACTAGCCCAGGAACCAAGTTATCTTCCCCAAAACCTTTTGGGTTCCCGGGGCAAGTGGGATATGTACAAGTTAGACATATGTCCAAACCAACCAGTCTATAAGACACAAGCTTAGAAGATGACCGGGCTTGGGGCCTGGAAATAAAACTTGGGGCAGACATTTTGTAAGGCACCGATTTTTGGTTTGTTTTTGGTTCACCGGTGTTTCCCCGGGAATCACACCAAGCCTCCACCACCACCCATCTTATGAACTCCAAATACCCCAAATCATGAGACTTTGTAAGCTCGACACCTGGGTCACCTACAAAATGCTTGCCCTGACGTCACCTGGTAAATGTGCAGGGGGATACGTTGCTCATGATTTTATTTTTTTGTTAATCATCGAAGGACGTTTAGAAGTCAAACTTCCGACAATATGGACAGATGAAAAGCAGAGCTGGGCAGAGGCAGAGAGAAGAGGACAGTAGAAGAGAGAGAATCAGAGAAGAGAAAGGGCCAGAAGAAAGCAGATGCAGATGCGCGAAAAGGTAGGAAAGTCGCGAAACACTGTTTTTCCAATGATTTGAGGCTCCGGAGGGTCGAAAAGTAGGCTCGCTAAAGCGGCGGGTGCGGAGCCAGCTGGCCAGATGAGAGATGAAAAATTGCACGCCGTTGTGGCGCGAAGCACATTTGCAAGTCAAAATGTGCAAAACACACCAGGTGCGGACCACTTTTGGCAGTTGAGATGTCAAAAAAGTGAACGCCGTTGTGGCGCGAAGCACATTTCGAAGTCAAAATGTTAAAAGCACTAGGGGTTCGGACCACTTTTGTCGTTTCGCGTGGCAGGCGCAAGGGATTGTGCACCTCTTCAAAAGTGAGCAAAACGTGAGGGTTTTGTAGCATTTCCAAAAACGATGGCAGGCATGGGACATTTGAAGAGGATCTGCAAAGATGCATTTTCCGTGGCAGGCGCAGTACAAAAGACATGTTCATGAGAGATGTTAGGAGGTCGGGGCGCTGATTTCCTGAGAGGGGTTGCATTTTGGAGTATCAGATGTGCAGGTTTGCTAAGATGATTTGGCGTGACAGGTGCAGCACTTCGTATGACCTGGCATCAATTTTCTGTGGCAGGCGCAGTACTTTAGACAGGTGGACTGGAAAAATCGCAAAACGCATTGGTACGAGGCTGTCAGCTCTGCACTCAACTTTCCATTTTTGAAGGAGTCTCGCAGAATTCTTTCGTTTTTGATGTCTTCAACTTCGAAAAATGAGGAAGTCTCGCAGAATTGCTTCGTTTCGGATGTTGTCAAGTTCAAAAAATGAAGACGTCTCGCAGAATTGTTTCGTTTTGGACGTTGTTATGTTCAAACATTAAGGAAGTCTCGCAGAATTTCTTCGTTTTTGATTTTGCAGATAGATAGATAGATAGATAGATAGATAGGTAGATAGGTAGATAGGTAGATAGGTAGATAGGTAGATAGATGCAATGTTCTGCTTTAGCAGATAATGCATTATCTGGAAACAGACTGTTGTATGTGTAGCTGCTAGATGTAGCTGCTACACTTCACTCTTTGCTTGCCTCTCTGTTGTCTCGCTCCTTGTGAACTACTCGTCTCTCCTCTGTTCGCGCCACGCGTCCCTTGCGTTGTGTTAAGGAGATCAAGGACTTTGATTATGTTTGGACATGCAACGCGTGGGTTCTTGTTGCCCTGTTTGTTTGCAAATCAAACCAAAACGTTTTTATTTTGTTTGTGTCTTGTGCGAGTTGTTTACCATTCTTGCTGGATGTTTTGCAAGTGGTCAAATTTAATCTGGAAACAACTTACAAGTATACAAACATTTTGACTGGGTAACACACTTGAATTTTAATGTCGTAATGCCATTTTGGGGTCAAGTGTGTCCGGGGGCGTTTGTGCTGCTATGAGACATCCTAGTGCCATCTCCAAGGGACAAGTGGCGTTTCGTACTTACATTTTGTTGCCAGCTGGGATTTCACAGACTGGTTTGCGCATTCAGCCGCTTTGTCATTTTCTTCTTGGATTTCTGGCAGGTTGTGTGGCCACATTTGCCTATTTGTTACACTTTGATGGACCAATTGCACCTCCGGACCTTGACGGAGTTACTACAAATTTTACTGGCAGTTGTTATTGAACTGGTCAAACGTTTTGGCTTCGTTCCTCCAGGTGCCCATCAGCCTCCTCAGCTGGAGGTCTTCTGCGTGGAGCCCTGCTACTTCTGTGGTCTCCAATGTCGGAAGGAACGGAATCATCGAGGCAGGCACCGTTGCCATCAACACCTCAACATGGTCGACATTTAGAATCTGTAGAGGGGGTTGACTTTGAAATGGCTAAGGATCCTTATGTTTGTCAACTGGATGACACAGTTGATGGAGAACCTTTTGGATTGCAGCCCACGGCAATGGATCATTCTGAATTTTCTGGAGAACCTTTTGGACTTCAGCCCACGGCAATGGATCATTCTGAATTTTCGCCTAGTTCTTTTGGTCATAAGGAACAAGCTGACAATGATGTGACATTTTCGAATGCTGGTGTAGATGGCCATGACTTTGAGACTTTTTCTCAATTCCAGGCTTTTGCATTTGGAGGTGATCATTTGGATACAGAAAGGTTGGAACCCTTGGCAAGCCAATCTGATGGCGGAGTGGAGGTTCCTTCGTCTGCGTATGGGGCTCAACGTTGTGCTATGAGCTTGGCTGTGGAACCGCCCAAATTTTTCTGGGAAACTGACCCTTTTCTGAAGACAGTTTTTTGTGATGACAGCATTCCCATGCCTTCTCTCAAGAGGCCTCAGCAACCTATTGATGTGACAGGACAAGGCTCACCTGAGGTATGGGACCTATTGCGTCGTCCCAAGAGCAGAGCTGTGAGCAGTTTGTGTGCTGATGTGATACGCCATGTGGAAATCAAGGATGAGCTTGATAAGCGGCGCAGCATGATTTCAAATTGGTCCAGCTTGGTTTGCATCGATCTGGAAGCTTTTTCGTTGGGTGATGCGTTGTTGGCAGAAGGCAAGGTGATCAGCCATGCAGATGTTGAACACAGCATAGCTGCATGTTTTGCGAGGAAAGCCACGAGCACATTAAGCAAGCGTTTCTATGCCTTGAACAAATATGTGAATTTCTGCTGCAGAAATGGCCATCAATTTTTCCCGGTTAGAGAAAGCGTGGTCTTCACCTATTTGGGTGCCTTGAATGTAGATGAGAAAACATCGCCGTCAGCTGGGCGGTCACTTTTAGAGGCCATACGCTTCAGCATGGGCGTGTTAGGCTTGCGAGGTGATTTGGCTGACTTGGGAACAACACGGGTGGACGGGCTGTCCATTGAACTTGCAAAGCGAGCAGGACCCATCAGGCAGGTGCCAGCACTCACTGTGCAGCAGGTCATGCAGTTGGAAAAACTTGTGGCATCCACTGAAGATTTGAGAGACGCAGCAATATTTGGAGGAATGTTGGTCCTCATGTACGCTTGTGGCCGCTTCTCAGATGGACAAAGAGCTATCAACATGATACTGGATGGTGATTTAGAAACTTTGGATCCAGCTGCACTGGGAGGCCAGGGTTTTCTGGAGCTCCAAGTGTTGGGCCACAAGGGGGCGCGGAGCGATGTTCTCAGAAGGACCTTCCTTCCTTTGGTGGCATCCATTTACACCTTAGCTGGAGTAGATTGGTTCAAAGCTTGGATCCAAGCACGCAATGCACTGGAGCTCACTACCAGTGGCAAACTCAACAAACCGTTCTTATGTAGGTTCAGCCCGAGTGGTGCTGCCTTGGACCAGGAGCTTACATCACCTGAATGCAGTTTGTTGCTCAACCGGGCTTTGAAGGTGGATGAGAAGAGCGAACATGCAGTGAGGTCTCACAGCTTGAAAACCACACCACTGGCATGGTGCTGCAAACATGGTGTTGATTTGGCGACAAGAAGGCTGTTGGGTCATCATCTGGATCCATCTTCGAAATCGGCTGAGACCTATGCTTGCGACTCCATGGCTCTCGCTGTCAGAACATTGGAGACCGTGCTCAATGACATCAAGAGTGGCAAGTTCAGACCCGACGAGAGCAGGTCAGGTCGTTTTGTACAAGTGCGTGAACCACCAGCTGCACAGGTAACCGCTGGTGAGTCAGATGATTCAGACAGCGACTATGTGCCCAGTAGCAGCTCAGGGGAAAGCGATGAGGAACCTTTCAGCGTGCCATCAGAGTCGAGCCTCCTGTGGCATTTGGTTGTGCCGCAGCTGCGGCCGGGTTACATAGATGTGCCTGATGGCGTGCTGGTTTTTCGAAACAATGTGTCTGGAGTACAACACATGAAAACACCTGGAAGATTGAAGCTCATGTGTGGGCGCCGTCAGACTGACAGGTACACGTTCTACGCCGGCAAGCCGATCCAAGGGGTTGCATTGTGCGACCATTGCATGGGATCCAAAGAGCTGCAGGGCAACACACATGAGTGATGATACGCTGGGTTGCAGCTCCAATGTGCGGGCACTTGACCAATGATGTAGTCAGGATGTTTGCAGCTGCCATGCCGTATGTGGCACGAACTTTAAGTCATCACCAATGTGGTGATGCCGGACCTCAGCCTGATGTAGGCGGTCTGTATGAAAGCATGAGCCAGCGCTATGAGGGAAAACAGTCTTGAGTTTATTTCAGTTTGAGAAAAGTCACACCTACCCACATGTCAGTTGAAATGTCAACTGAGGAACGTGTGAATGTGCGTTTTGTTTATTGGGCTCCAGTCAAGGGTTTGACCTTGAGATGTGTGGAGAGCTCAACTTGGCATGGACAGTTTTGTTTCGTCAAATTGATTTTGATGAGGTGTGCAATTTTCATGCATTTGAAGACCTTTATGTTTCCTGAAAGTGTTTTCCAAACCTTTTCATTTTACTGCGTGTTACTCCTTTGAACCGCCGTGTGAGATGCAATGTCAGGGTATGCAGAGTCAAATGCCAGTTTCCGTCACCGAGCGAAGCAGATTCAACTGACAGATGATCACATTACTGCTTTACATGACAATGATATCAGATGTTTCAACCACATGGCTTTTGCTGTGAATGGTCAGCCAGGCCAACTTGACCAGGAAAGGTTTCAGGGCCTGGTGGACATTGTTTGCCCGCGAGGTGCATCATTGGGTGTTCAGGCCAGTTTGAAACAGCTGGCATACGAAGCTTTAACAGTGGCTGTAGCTGCAATTAAACAGAGAGTGGAAACACCGTCAGATGATGCTGCAAAGAAATTGCCACCACAAGAAAAGGACCAGCGTTTACGCACCTTGAAACAGAAGATCACTGGTTTTGATGTTTCTGGAGATTACGAGCCTGGGCATTGCGTCATTGACGCTTTCGCAGGGATGCTGGAAGAAAGTGTGTTGAAGTTTTGGCCACTTAGCAAATGTGTATCGAGAGAGCAGGAGCTCCAATCGGTCAAGGCTGACAAACAGGTCATCATGCTGGAGAACCAGCAGTTGCAGGTGAAAGCCCGCAGCACCGAGTTGACGGCTGACTTGGGCAATGAGCTCAGAGTTCACATGGCTTTCATTCGACGTGGTTTGGCTCTGGATATGGCTAACTTAGCCACCTATGAAGTGCATGAAAAAGTCATGAGGGAGTTCATGAGCCACCTCACCAGGCAACCTCCACCAGGTTTCAAAGGGCCTACGATTGAATCAGTGCTTCGAGCAGATAAAGAGTTGTGGACCAGAGTTGCAGACAGAGTCAGGTCAGACCTTAGACCAGACAGGACTGGAAGCTTGCCAGTTGATGCGGCTTTGACAGAACTTTGCACCTCTGCAGCTGTGGTTTTTCATTTGCTTCCCTTGCCAGGCTCTGGGTCGTCGAATGCCCCAACAAAACGAAAGACTCCAGATGAGGCCCCTACAAAGACTCAGGCGCCAGAGGCTCATCCTGACACCAAGAACAAGAACCGGAGGGGAAAGCGAAACAGACAAGGTCGTACAAACCTACCGTCGGGTTTGCATGGATACAGTGGTTGGAACAAACAAAAGCAGCGTATCTGTTTCAATTTTAACATGGCGCATGGGTGTTCCAATGCAGTGACAAAGGATGGCAATGTTGATAAATGCAATCGTGGTACTCACCAGTGTATCAAATGCCACGGCAAACACAGTTTGACGCAGTGCACAAACTGAAATGCGGAAGGGCCACAAGCCGCACCAGCTGACACAAAGTTTTCGTTTGCTGACTTTTTCATTGTTGAAGTTTTCTGCGGCAAAGCTGGCCTTTCAAAGGCGTTGCGTCGAAAAGGTTTTCAAGTTTTCTCAGTTGATCACAAGGCGGTCAAGGGGATCCCAGTTTTGGTGATTGACCTGAACTCAGATGCACAATTAAAAATTTTTGAGGAGTTGGTACAGCAGCGACGCCTACTGTACGTGCATTTTGCACCACCCTGTGGCACAGCGTCCAAAGCTCGAGCCATTCGCCTGGGCCTCAAAAACGAGCCAAAACCCTTACGAAGCATGCAGTATCCCATGGGCCTTCCTCATCTCAAAGGGTTGCAAAAAGAAAGAGTGCGTTTGGCCAACCGCTTGTATGCTCTCACCAAGCGATTCCTTGTGGAACTCCAGAAGCAAGGCATTGGCTGGTCAGTTGAAAACCCGTCCAGCAGCCTCATGTGGCTCACAGACCAGTTCGTTGAGTTCATGCAGACATTTGGCGATGTGATTTACGGTGTGGTTTTTCATACATGCATGTTTGGTGCTGCACGGAAGAAAGAAACAGCTTTGTGGACCAACATCATGGAGCTATGCCAACTTAGCCGAAGCTGCACAGGTGACCACCCACATGCTGCATGGGGATTGACACCTACAGGTACCTTTGCAACAGCAGATGAGTGTGCCTACAACAGCACGTTGTGTGCACATTGGGCTGCAGCAATTGAACAATATGCCATCAGACGAGGTTTACAACCTGCACCAGCTACTTTGGACAACGTTGGACCCGACCACCTGCATCTCAAAGACAAGGTTAATCGAGCCATTCTGGGTGCACTACCACGTGGCAGCAAGATGCCGCCACTCCTGACTGATTTTTTGCGGGAGGAGATCGTGGAAATCCAACGTTTTCCATGCTTGGCCCAGGCAAAACCTGGGGCCAGGCTCACTGACAACACAGTTTTCCCCAAAGGTTCACGCCTGTTACATGTTTGGAATGACTATGGGGGGTTACAAAACAGTGGGCCCAGCGATGTGGAGGAAGTCCATGCGCCAACTCATGAAGGCGAGACTCGTTTGCTGGCAAAGGTGGGCATGCCAGTCCCCCCTTTGGACTACTTGGCAATGGTCACCAAGCTGGTTCACCCTGACCGCAGCGAGTGATACTTCATGAGAACCTGGAGCGTGCTATCGAGTTCAGTGGACCGAACAAGGCAGTGGAACTTAGGCGCAGGCGCATTCTTTGGACCAAATCTATGGTTGACTTGATGGCGAAAACGAAGACCCAGGAGGAGGCCATGGTGGAGAACAGGCCTCTTCACCTGAAATCGGTCCTGGCTGGCAAGAAATTTGGTTTGATGCATGCGGCCCTGGAGTCCATTGCATATCCAGATGCTGGTGTAGCCTTGGAAGCCAACAGTGGCTTCCCGCTTGTGGGTTGGATGAAACAGTCAGGTGTCTTTGCTTCAAACTTGCGGCCTCCTGCCCTACATGTAGACTCGTTTGAGGCCATGGCAGCATCCTTTTCGGCCAGGACTCTTGCCAGCATCAAGCCTTCGCAGGACAGTGACCTGGATATGCAGGTTTGGGAAGCAACCATGGCTGAAGTTACGGGTGGCACCTTGGAAGGCCCTTACAATGCTTCAGACCTCCCTCAAGGTCACGTGGTGTCTCCCCGATTTGGCTTGCGCCAGGGGTCTAAGGTGAGACCCATCGACAATCTGAGCGCTTCAGGCTTGAACAGCACAGTTGGTTTGCCCGAGAGGTTGCAGGTGGACACCATAGATGAGGTGGCATCGATGGTAAAGCGTTGCATGCAACTCCATGGCAAGGCTTGCCAATTGGTAGGCAGAACGTATGACTTGAGGAAGGCTTACAGACAGCTTGGTGTTAACGAGGCCCATTACAAGTTTGCCTGGATAGCAGTTTGGTCGCCTGTGCATACAAGCACTCGGCTGTTCCGAATGAAAGGGCTGCCGTTCGGCGGCACGGCCTCGGTAGCATCCTTTTTGAGGATGTCAAAGGCCTTAAAAGAGTTGGGCCTGTCAGGCCCCTTGCTTATCTGGTCGTCCTTTTTCGATGATTTCATTTGTATTTGCAGACCGGAAGATGCGGAGAGCACAGACATGGCTGTCCGATTCCTGTTCAAGGCTTGTGGCTGGGTTTTATCTGAGGACCCGGAGAAGGATGTTGGGTTCCGAAAAACGTTCACTGCCTTGGGGGTATGCTTTGATATGGAACAAGTGCAATGTGGCATCCTGCGTATCGGCAACACGGATAAGCGGAAGGCGGAGCTTGAGGCCTTGGTAAACCGCCACCTAGCAGAAAACTCTCTGGCACCAGACCAAGCAGAAAGCTTGAGGTCGCGTCTGATGTTTGCAGAGTCACAGGTGTTTGGCCGGTCAGCCCGACTGGCCTTGAAGGCTTTGAGCTCACCCGTGGCTGAAGGGAAGACATGCTCACCGTTGTCCGAGGACATTCTTTTTGGTTTGGCTTGGATGAAGCAACGGCTGGTTCACTCGCCGCCCAGGGAGATCAAGGCGGTGGACACGGCTACATGGTATTTGTTCATTGATGGTGCCTGTGAACCGGTTGCCGGTGCTCTTGATAGCTTGAGGACCTCGATTGGAGGTGTGCTGTTGAATGAGCATGGCGAAGGTGTTCACTTTTTTGGTTTGGTGGTGCCCAGTGAGATCACAAAGGTATGGGCGGCAAGCGGCAGGAAAAACTTGGTGTTCGAAGCTGAAGTGCTTCCTTATTTCCTTGCAATACATGTGTGGGCGAAGTTACTGCAGGACAAGCACCTGCTCGTCTTTATAGACAATGATGCTGCGCGGCATAGCTGGATACAAGGCCATGCGGAGTCCCCGCACGCTCAGTGGATGATCCATAAAGGCACCCTCGAGGAAGCAGCCATTGGTGTAGTGCCCTATTTTTGCAGGGTACCCACTGCCAGTAATCTTGCTGACGGCCCGAGCCGTTTGGATTTCTCAATGTGTTACAAACTAGGCGCCAGCCAAACGGACATAGACCTTGAGACGTTGCATGAATGCACTTTGCGAAGTCGGCCAGGTGAGAATGATTACCTGGGGGTGACGATGGCACCTGGACACACCCCGACTATCCAAAAGCATGGATGAAAAGATCATGAGCGTGAATCGGAATCCGGTGAATCATTTATTTGCAGTGATGTGTTTTTCTAATTTCGTTTGCAGTGTTTTGCGTTTGTCGTTTATTTGCAGATGTGCAGTGATGTCAGTCTTTTTAATCTTGGCGCTGCAGTAAACATGACGGTAAAGCGTTGGTTCAGTTTACGCGTATTGCGTAGGCGCTCTGTTGGTGGTTTTTGGTTTGAGTAGTCACGTTTGGTTTATGCGAGATGGTTTGCAAAGAGTCCACAAGTCTGGGGTAAGATAAGCAATGTTCTGCTTTAGCAGATAATGCATTATCTGGAAACAGACTGTTGTATGTGTAGCTGCTAGATGTAGCTGCTACACTTCACTCTTTGCTTGCCTCTCTGTTGTCTCGCTCCTTGTGAACTACTCGCCTCTCCTCTGTTCGCGCCACGCGTCCCTTGCGTTGTATTAAGGAGATCAAGGACTTTGATTATGTTTGGACATGCAACGCGTGGGTTCTTGTTGCCCTGTTTGTTTGCAAATCAAACCAAAACGTTTTTATTTTGTTTGTGTCTTGTGCGAGTTGTTTACCATTCTTGCTGGATGTTTTGCAAGTGGTCAAATTTAATCTGGAAACAACTTACAAGTATACAAACATTTTGACTGGGTAACACACTTGAATTTTAATGTCGTAATGCCATTTTGGGGTCAAGTGTGTCCGGGGGCGTTTGTGCTCCCACCCTTGATTCCCACCCTCGCACTCACTACCCAGTCAAAATTTTGGTACCATGGCTCCATGTGCCATATGTGCCTAACCCTAGCCGTCGTGACGATGGCACCTGGACACACCCCGACTATCCAAAAGCATGGATGAAAAGATCATGAGCGTGAATCGGAATCCGGTGAATCATTTATTTGCAGTGATGTGTTTTTCTAATTTCGTTTGCAGCGTTTTGTGTTTGTCGTTTATTTGCAGATGTGCAGTGATGTCAGTCTTTTTAATCTTGGCGCTGCAGTAAACATGACGGTAAAGCGTTGGTTCAGTTTACGCGTATTGCGTAGGCGCTCTGTTGGTGGTTTTTGGTTTGAGTAGTCACGTTTGGTTTATGCGAGATGGTTTGCAAAGAGTCCACAAGTCTGGGGTAAGATAAAGATAGATAGATAGGTAGACAGATAGATCAATAGGTAGTAGAAAGAGAGAAAGAGAGGAGACCTGGAGCAAAATGATTCACTCTGCCATCCCTGATTCACAACAACCAATCTCTCCTATAGGTTTCCTATTTTTGAAACTTCCGCCACCGCCTTGTGCGGTACTACTGGTAATCCAAACCAAGCGACTTGGAAATCATTTTTTGTCCGACAAGGTATAAGAGTTGACTGGCCAAAATGCGGGATTTGGATTTAAGCTGTTGTTTTGGCACATTACTTCAAGTCCCTCATCTTGACATTGTTTTTGCATTCCAAACGAATCATTGTATTTTGGTGGCCACAAGAAGTCTCAAATCTCAAAGGTCTCCAAGAATTCTAGAACCATCCCAGTCAACCCCAGGGGTGTGCCACTTAGATACCTTGATTTTGAAAGTATGTACTAGGGATCAGCCGAAGTAGAAATATGTGGTTTTGAAAGCTTTATTTCCATTGTCTGACATGCTAGAAGAGACTCGGAAGAGATGAGGGCATGAAGGAATACAGCATGATATAGTATTGTGGCACAGCCATTCTAGATTCTTTGCACGTAAAATGGAAAACAGGTCTCACGCATTCCAAAGCAATTCTGAGATTTCAACGAAAATAGCCAGGAAGTTCCAATTTAGACGGGGTTTTTAGAATCTAGAATGAAGAACCCAGGGTCCCTTGGTAATAGTTAAAGCTATACTATGAAGCACTTGTCCGGCATCGGCCAACAGTATACATATATGCCAGCATATCTTGCGATGAGCTCTTCTGGGGAAACCATCTCGACGGGAAACAACAATTCCACTTACCTACCTCCCCATTTCTTCTGTAACAGTTTTCGCAGAGCTTTCGGCAAGAAACGTTCGCCAAGTCGCTCAAACCGCAGCCTGCACCTTAAGACAAAAGGCAGTGACGAGAACACGCGCGGGCTAGGTCCAAGCCAGAAGAAAAGAGAACATTGAAACAACCGCAGCTGCAACCCAAACAAACTCATGAGCAGGGTCAGGATTCAAACCTTAAAAACATTTTTGTCTAAAGTGAACTAATGAGACTAACGCTGATGAATTTCAAGGCAGAACAAAAGCTTTTGAATTGCGCAGGCAACGGAAGAAGCGCTGCACGGACAGAGCTTCCATGCATTTGCTGTTTGAAGCATCTCTAACCCAGCCTAACTCAGCCAATTTGCTTGGTAAAAAATCGGAGCAGCAGCGGGGTACAGGTCCCAGCTACATGTGAAAAAGCATGGCGCGCTGTCCCTTCGAAATCAGACACGAAGCAAAGCAACGGCAAACCAAATGACAAGCCCAAACAAAAAAGAGTTGCCGTTTGCTTTTCGTATTTTTGCGCGTCGCGTTTTGTTTTCAGGACCTTTTTCGCAGTTCCCATCTACGCGCTGTTTTCTTACTTCGCGTCGCCTCTTTTTTTTGGTTTTCCCGCGGCCTGCGCTCTTTTGATATTTGCCCCCTCCACACACACGCACCTGCTTGTGGACTTGCTTTCTCAGACTTTTTGCTTTTCTTTTTGCAATCATGATTGTCGCACGCATGGCTGAAATGGTTGCGTGGAATGCTTGCCACTTGCTTTCTGTCATCGCCCATGCAGTGTGCTGCACCAACAGCTTGCCCATGCCTGTGGCAACATGTTCGGTGTGCATTGAAATGTGTCATTGGAATCGCCGATGAATTGCCTTGCTGCGTCCCCTGTAAAGCAGGCATAGCATAGCTGCCGCTAAACACTCACAGTGTTTGAGTCGGCCTTGTGGTGGTGGTGGTGCTTGGAATCATGTTAGCCGTACGGTTGGTTGTTGTGGCTTTTGCTTTGGCTGCTGCTGAGAAGATGCAAGCGCCTTCCAGCTTCATGCTGGTAAGTGGTGTCTCTTCACCGCGAGAGATGTGTCTAGTCGGGATGGGCCCAGCGGGTGCTTTATTGGACGAGTGCACGGCTGCACTTGCAGAGCTGGACGGACGTGAGGTTTGGAGTCTCACAGGCAGTGGCTCCTTGACGAATTTAGCTGCGAAAAAGTGTTTGGCCGCGCAGCCTGATGCTGCTGCTGGGAGTGCTATTGAGCTAGCGCCTTGCGATGAAGCAGGGAAGAGTTCAACCTGGGAGTTGCAGGCCAACGGACAAATAAAGCTTGGGGCCAGCAACATGTGCCTGAGCCAAGCAGGGCCTTCGCCTGGCCGTGCAGATCTTGCCTCTAGCTCCGCAGTTGTTGCTAGCTCCACATTGGACCCTGCGCACGGAGCTGCCCTTGTTGTTGATGGTCTCGCATCATCCTATTGGGTATCCAAGTTAGACGAAGCAGGCCCTGTGTCTTTGACGCTTGAATTTGACAAAGCGGCGCCTGTGCTCGAAGTAGAGCTTGATTTTGAATTTGCCCCTTCTTCTTTCGTGCTGCAAAGCTTGGGGGCAAGTGGTAAATGGATTGACGAGTTTTGCAACTGACACCAACATCCTTCGAACCGCCAAGCTCCCACTGGCCGGTGGCCCGGCCTATGGCGTGAGGCTTGTGATGAACAAAGCGCATGCGACCCAAGCCGTGCTGGGAGGTCATTCCATCTTTGGGGTACGTTCCTTCAAGGTCCTTGCCCCACTGATGCGCCCGGTTGTGGAGCCTTGCGTGGTGGCGGCCAAGAGCAGTGATGCTCGAGACAAATATTTTGCCGTGGCCGTCGGCTCCTTTGATCCTTCGTCTGGTGTGGCGCTGCGGTCGGAGCTTCCTGCTTTGGACTCTGCCGGCGCAGCAGTTGCCGCCGCAGTGACGGAGCTTGCGGAAGCAGTCCCAGATGCGCGTGCATGCAAGAAAGGCGCTGCCTTCAAGTCCAAGGCAGGACGCCGCCAGACAGTATCATCCACTCGCAAGAGTCTTGGAAGAGCAGAAATTGGCGAGCAGGAAGCTTTGTTTGTCGAGGCCAAGAAAACCATCATCGCCGCTCGCAGCATTTTGCAATGAGCCAAATGCGCAGGGCTAACTATGTTTGATGTGGCCCTAGATTCGCCCCAAGTGGCAAGCTGCTGTGTGTATCGCTGCTCTGTTGCCAGGCTCGGCTTTTTCTTTTTCGTGGCAGAAGAAGTTTGTTGCTCAGTGTCAAGAAGTTGGGTCTCCTGCGCATCTTCAGGCATCAAATGCCGTCCTGGCTGACCTGAACTTACTCCATTCTGAAAATAGATGGCGCAGATTTTGGCAATGCGCCATCTATAGACCACTTGAGGGATGGGGTGTTTTGCGCCATCTATAGGTTCCCGACACACGTCCTTGAAAACAACATGTTTTCCTCATTTTTCCTCTAGGTTAGTTTAAACTTAGTATTTAAGATCTGGGGTCCATTTTTTTTTTGGAAAACCATAATTGTGGATTGCGCCATCTATAGGTTCCCAAAGGAGGAGGGAAAGGAGAGAAAGGGAAAGGAGAAAGTGGAAAGGGGAAGGAGAAGGGGCCAGGAGAAAGGGAAAAGGGAAAAGGGAAAAGGGGGAAGGGAAAGGAGAAAGGAAAAAGGAGAAAAGGAGAAAAGGAAAGGAAAAGGAAAGGAAAAGGAAAGGAAAAGGAAAGGAAAAGGAAAGGAAAAGGAAAGGAAAAGGAAAGGAAAAGGAAAGGAAAAGGAAAGGAAAAGGAAAGGAAAAGGAAAGGAAAAGGAAAGGAAAAGGAAAGGAGAAAAGGAGAAAGGGAAAGGAGAAATGGAATGGAGAAAGGAGAAAGGGACAGGGAAAGGAGAAGGGGCAGGAGAAAAAAGAAAGGAGAATGGACAGGGAAATAAGAAAGGAAAAGGCAAAGGGAGAGGGAAAGGAGAAAGGGAAAGAACAAAGGGAAAGGAGCAAGGCAAAGGAGAAAGGAGGAGGGAAAGGAGAAAGGAGAAAAAGGAAAGGGGAAAGGAGAAAGTGAAAGGGGAAAGGGAAAGGAGAAGGGAAAGGAGAAAGGAGAAAAGGACAGGGAACAGGATTTTTTCTTTGGGAAACCATAACTGTGGTTTGCGCCATCTACTGTATAGGTTACTTACCACTGCGTTCCATGTTTAAAGGGAAAGGGAAAGGAGGAGGGAACGGAGAAAGGATAAGGAAAAAATTGGAAAAAGAAACGGAAAGGAGAAAGGATAAAGGGAAAGGGGAAAGGAGAAAGGGGAAAGGGAAAGGAGAAGGGGACAGGAGAAAGGGAAAAGGGAAAAGGGGGAAGGGACAGGAGAAAGGAAAAAGGAGAAAAGGAGAGGAAAAGGAAAGGAAAAGGAAAGGAGAAAGGAGAAAGGGAAAGGGAAAGGAGAAATGGAATAAAGAAAGGAGAAAGGAGAAAGGGACAGGGAAAGGAGAAGGGGCAGGAGAAAAAAGAAAGGAGAATGGACAGGGGAATAAGAAAGGAAAAGGCAAAGGGAGAGGGAAAGGAGAAAGGGAAAGGAGAACGGCAAAGGAGAATTGCGCCATCTACAGTGCACAGTTAGTGTATGTGTGCGTGCTTGTATATGATCTAGGGACAAATGCCCTATTTCGGTAAGTTTTTCCCGGTGAATCCTGTTATTTACAGCTCGCTGTGTGCCTCCCAAAGTGAATTGCGCCATCTACAGTGCATGGTTAGTGTATGTGTGTGTGTATGTGCTTATATATGATTTTGGGTCAGATGCCCAATTCTGGTAAATTTTCCCTGATGAATCATGTTATTTACAGCTCGCTGTGTGCATTTATGCCTCCCAAAGTGAATTGCGCCATCTGCAATCCAAAGTTAGTGTATGTGTGTGTGTGCTTGCATATGATTTTGGGTTAAATGCCCAATTCTGGTAAGTTTTTCCCGGCGAATCATGTTATTTACAGCTCGCTGTGTGCATTTTTGTGCCTCCCAAAGTGAATTGCGCCATCTACAGTGCACAGTTAGTGTATGAGTGTGGTTGCATATGATCTAGGGTTAATTACTTCCAAAAGTGGTCCGAGAATGGTGTTCTTTGTACATTTGCCTGCCACGCGAAAGGCAGCCAGGAAGCTCTGTATTGCACCTGCCTCACGACAGCCAGCCGCGGGCCAGCGGCGCCCACGCGCGCCGCAGCTCCTCCAGAGGGCTCTGTGTACTGCGCCTGCCACGCAAAAGGCAGCCAGTAGCGGCGCCCACGCGCGCCGCAGCTCCTCCAGGAGGCTCTGTGTACTGCGCCTGCCACGCGAAAGGCAGCCAGGAAAGCTCTATGTACTGCGAGTGAGTGAGTGAGTGAATGAGTGGAGTGAGTGAGTGAGTGAATGAGTGAGTGAGTGAGTGAGTGAGTGAGGAGGAGGAGGCGGAGGAGGAGGTGCCCCGGCGGGATCCAAGCGAAAAACAAGAACCCCACACATTGATGTGGGGAAAAACCGTTTAGTTACAGTTTAAAGTCACGCTGAGAAATCTAGATCGGGCGGTCGGGCCCTGAAATTGAAAACATGTCCACCATCGACCGCGCAACGTGTTTCCATCATGTAAGATGTGACAGTCATAGAATCATACACTTGCTCTCTGTGAAAGGCTGTGATTTTCACGGTCTGCCACTGTGTCTCTTTCAAGCCCACCTTGCCTGCAAGACCTGCAATAATGCTAGCGACGGCGACCCCGCATTGGCGTTGACCAAATAGTTTGTTTTGGTTATCTTATCTAATGAGATGATTAAATCAATGGGATTTAGGTTGTTGTCACCAATCAGCAATCAATCAAGAAAAAGGAACCAGGAACGGCAACTGTAACTAATGCTGAAATTGGCCAATCTTTGCGTGGTCACGGTCACAGGTATGACTTCTTATTGAGATGCTTCCGCCGGAGAAGGCAGAGGCTACTGTAACTGTTACAGCTGCTACTCTAATTGGCATCGGCGCCAGCCAAAAGCCCTACAACATTCCAGGCAGTCCAGGGAAGCTACGGCAACAACAAACGAGATGCAGTGCTGGCAGTACTGCAACTCATTCCTTCCCTGTTGCTGTAGAACTTCTGGCTGGCAACATGACTCAAAGAATCATGTAATCTTATTGAAAAGCTTAATTTCGGTAAATTTTTCCCGGTGAATCGTGTTATTTACAGCTCGCTGTGTGCATTGATGCCTCCCAAAGAGAATTGCGCCATGTACAGTGTGTGGATAGTGTATGTGTGTGCGTGCATACCACTGTATGTCTGTGTGAACCACATTTGCTTCAATAATATAGCTGCATTGTGTTTGAAGATGGCAGCTCCACCGGCAGTAGCCCTGCCTGGTGAGAATCCAAAGAAAAAGAAAGCAATCGCTATTTTCCAAAAATAGCGATGCTATTCGGGGTCGCGCCATCTGCCAAAAATAGCGATTTTACGGCCAGGCTGCGCCATCTACCGTCGCTATTTATTTTTATATTTTGCGCCATCTACTTTCCGAGCGGTATAAATTTTTTCTTGTTCCTTTAAGTACTGAGGATCCAGCAGAATACTTGGACCCAGGGACCTGTTCCAAAAGGGCTTAGAATGGTGAGCATGTCATTGTCGAATTGTAGATAATTTCGCCTTAGCATTTCAGATCTTCAACATGACCTATACAAGTATCCATGGCAGACATTGTGTTTTTATGTTTTTTAAAAGACAGGTGCAAGGCTGTAAAGGATGTTAAAGTAGGATGCCTTCAAGATCAGACGTGCCCCCTTGACACAGCATTTTCGAAGCTTCAAGAACAAACATTTCTTTGGCAAGCGGCGATGGCAATCGAAATAGAACCTCGAGAGTTAAATGTGGAAGGGTTGTAATGTTATATCATTGCAATCTATACAAAGCTATTGAAAATTATATAGTGTCTTGCTTGTTTGGTTGTGATTTCATTCTTTCCCTTTAAAGCCGTGCGTCACAGTTGCGCAATGATATGGCTGGACCCAGGTTCCATTTCAGAGGACATTTTTGTAACAAACGGAAGAATTTTGTTGGGAATTTTGCCTAGTGAACCATGCCATTTTGTAAAAGGCGTGTTTTTTGTTGGGCGAATCATTTTGTAAGAGCCAATATTCTTTACAAAATGACGTCGGGGCCAGTCATTTGATAATGCTATTTTGGGTTCATTTCTGGCAGTGCAAAGGAGGGTATTGAAATCTTGACTAGCCCAGGAACCAAGTTTTCTTCTCCAAAACCTTTTGGGTTCCCGGGGCAAGTGGGATATGTACAAGTTAGACATATGTCCAAACCAACCAGTCTATAAGACACAAGCTTAGAAGATGACCGGGCTTGGGGCCTGGAAATAAAACTTGGGGCAGACATTTTGTAAGGCACCGATTTTTGGTTTGTTTTTTGGTTCACCGGTGTTTCCCCGGGAATCACACCAAAGCCTCCACCACCACCCATCTTATGAACTCCAAATACCCCAAATCATGAGACTTTGTAAGCTCGACACCTGGGTCACCTACAAAATGCTTGCCCTGACGTCACCCGGTAAATGTGCAGGGGGATACGTTGCTCATGATTTTATTTTTTGTTAATCATCGAAGGAAGTTTAGAAGTCAAACTTCCGACAATATGGACAGATGAAAAGCAGAGCTGGGCAGAGGCAGAGAGAAGAGGACAATAGAAGAGAGAGAATCAGAGAAGAAAAAGGGTCAGAAGAAAGCAGATGCAGATGCGCGAAAAGGTAGGAAAGTCGCGAAATACTCTTTTTCCAATGATTTGAGGCTCCGGAGGGTCGAAAAGTAGGCTCGCTAAAGCGGCGGGTGCGGAGCCAGCTGGCCAGATGAGAGATGAAAAATTGCACGCCATTGTGGCGCGAAGCACATTTGCAAGTCAAAATGTTCAAGACACACCAGGTGCGGACCACTTTTGGCAGTTGAGATGTCAAAAAAGTGAACGCCGTTGTGGCGCGAAGCACATTTCGAAGTCAAAATGTTAAAAGCACTAGGGGTTCGGACCACTTTTGGAGGTTCAGATGTCGTTTCGCGTGGCAGGCGCAAGGGATTGTGTACCTCTTCAAAAGTGAGCAAAACGTGAGGGTTTTGTAGCATTTCCAAAAACGATGGCAG